CACCAGATGTGCTAAAGACAAGCACACTACTGTGAGCTGTTTTCAGGTAAACTTGCAGCTTTGGGACAAGTGATTCAGGTCTGTGGGAGTGTCTGGCTCAGCAAGACAGGGTGCTGGAGTCCTGAGTTGGCAGGGAAAACAGAAGCAGGGGTAGTCTTTGCACATCTGGTGGCAACTCCCAAGGGGGTTTCTGTGATCCAACCCGTCACAGCTGTATTTGAAAATTAAGTGTCTATTCTTTAAGGAAATGGAAGAACATTCCTGTGATCATTCTCATTTGATTGAAGGGCACCACCCTCCAGCATCTTATAGCAAATCAGTTCTGCTGGGTCAGAGATTCCAGTCCCCACCTGCCTTTGTCACCTTCCTTAGAATAAAGGGACATAGCAATAACTAGGAACTGACCTGCAGGGAACCAACCCATCTTACAGAAGGCACCAAATAGTTATTAGATGGTAATGACTTTTGAAATGACCTCAGTTGAATTGAAAACAGTGATCTAGAGGTTTTCTATTCTATAGCCATTATCAGTGCCTTGAGCCATTGCACCAGTTGCTTTTTATTTTAGTCATACTCTCAAAACAAAGAGGCTTCCAGGGAATGGAGTAGTTGTGAATCATCCCATCCCCATCAACAGTGGTGCTTAAATAGATTAGAGTCAGAGCTTAAAGTCAGAAGAGACCACTACATCTTCCAGTCTGACCTCCTGTATATCAAAGGCCACCAACACCATCCAGCGCCCACACACTAAACCCAGCAATGGAAATGAGACCAAAGCAAGTGAGACCCACAGGAGACTAAACTATTATGTGTCACAGGCAGAGAACTGGAGGGACCAAGGTGCACCAGTGCCTGAGGCCCCTGCAATGGCGGGGAGATGATTAAATGACATATACCATATAATCCTGGTAAGTGACCCACACCCTCCAGAGGAAGGTGAAAAACCGCCAAGGTCACTGCCAATTTGACATGGGGGAAAATTCCTTCCAGACCCCACATATAGCCATCAGTTAGATTCTGAGCAAGTGACATCAGCCAGCCAAGTGCCTGAGAGAGAGAGAGAATGTTTGGTGCCACCTCAGAACCCTGGCCCACCACATCCAGTGTCCCATCTCCAACCATGGCCACCACTGATTCTTCAGAGGAAGGAGATAAAAAAAAAACCTCCCAGAATATACTGCGGGCGGAATCCCTTCCTGACCCTTGGCGATGGCTGGCTGACAACTTGAAGCACAAACTTCAGGAACATAAGATATAAACCTGATGTGAGCCCCAGGGTTATTGAGCCCTGCCCAATACTCTCGCTGGAAAGGGTCAGTTTGCATCTGTAGGCCTACTCTACGTTTAGGGCTTGTCTGTATCAACAGTGTGTGGAAAGCTGGGGTGTAAATCTACCTTGCACTAATCTGCTGTGCACTAAGTGTCCAAGTGGCCCCTATTGCCATGCGCTAAAAGTTCCCTAGTGTGCTTTGATCTATTCCATTTCAAAACCGAGTAAATTAAAGCACACTAGGGAACTTCCAGTGTGTGGTAGCAGGGTCCACTCAAACAGAGGTGGGCACACTAGTGCAAGGTTGATTTACACCCCAGCTTCCCACACACTAACTGTTCAATTAGACAAGCCCTGAGAAAAGTTTTGCCAGTATAGATATACCAACATAGCTATCCCAGCAAGTCCTCCTTGTAGATATAGCTCCTAGAAGAGTGCTTTTGGCAGTATAAGTTATGGCCCATCAAACTAAGCTATACCGGGCAAATGCACTTTATACCTGGTATACCTGGCTGTAGTTTTGAGCTATGCTCAGCAGCCTATTTTCTGAGGAACATTATCATTTGTCTTTGCATGGACTAAACTGTCTTTCCACTTTGGGTCTGTATTTTTGGCCAGCACTTCTTTGACTCGATCATTAACCTAGCTGGAGGTATGTTGTTTGAATGTGAAAGTAAACTGCAGCACTATAAAAAGTCATCAGTGTATTTAGGTTTAAGCAGTAAATAAATGTACCTTAATCTGCAGGGCGGAGCCTGACTTATTTGAGTCACTGGATGAGGGAAACACACTTCGTAACAGCCTTCGTTTCAAGCTGTTTTCCCTCGATTTGGGACAAGGGCTGCCCTCCCCAGAAGGCCTGGGATTCACTTGTGCCACCAGGCAAGGCTGGGGCCAGCATTCTGAGCTTCTTCTTTCAGCCTTATCACTCTTCCCAACCAGAACACAGGTGTGCTGTTGATGCTGCGAAACTGAAGTGAGCTGGATGCAGCGCCCATCCTCACCTTGGAACTCTGAAGGCCCAAGGGACTTTGCTTTCATTACCATACCATTGGGATGAGCTTGCCCATCCGTCCTGGATTTATAATCTGGCCACATCGTCTGCCTTCGGGCTGCTTTGCTTCCACCATTGCAGTTGAGGTAGTTTCCATATTTGTCTTCCCAGTCGACCTCAGGGCTCTGAAGATACATGTCTGGGAGCCTGTCCTCTCCCAAAAGTCCAAGTGACTGGGCTCTCCTTCTGCTGGTTGGGCTCTTTCCCCTTAGAGTGTTGGAACTGATGACAGAAAGCTTCTGAATATCATTCAGTATCCCAGAGATATATCCCTCCAGTTCGATGCTGCTGCCCCTCACTACAGTCTGTCAAACACACAGAAACAAAAGGCAAAGTTAGAGCTTTAACCCGTGAGGCTCAGGACGTCAAGGTCAGGGGTTGAGCTTTGTGTCTGGCTAGTCATTGAAGTTCAGGGTGGGGGGGATGTTTGGCTTCTCCATTGTTTTTACTTTCTTAAAGTTTGATGAACCGTATACTGCTGTGATAAAGAGTGGCACTAGCTAAAGTACAGAGCAGGGAGGCACTATATTCCTCACACTGCTTTTCTAATGCACCTCAATCCTGACCTGCAACACTCCTACTAGTTCCAGGAGTGGGCATCTACTTCAGTTCTGACTTTTTTATTCCTGCTGCTATTCTGGGTTCCACTTCATTCTGTAACCACACCTCACTTGTGACCATTAGCCAAAGAAGCTATGAACACACACACGCACTTTTAAGATATCCTTGTTGGAAAAATTTTGCATTGAACTAGCAATGAGTCCTGAGAGTTGGGTGTTAAGAACTTTGATTTTGAGTGCACTGGACAAGTTTCCTCTTTATTTATTGGGGCACTACTTCCAAAACGGAGTCTCCACAAATCTCAGTGCATCTTAATCTCTACCTACAAATCTTTTTCCTGTTCCAGTACAAGGTCCTCCTCTTCTCCCACAGCTCTGTCAACGCATACATAGCTTAGCACCCACCAGCAGCCAAGCTACCCCCCCACCCCCCGGCAGCGCCTCCTGCCCACTGGCAGCCCCACCAATTAACTCCTCCCCCTCCCTCCCAGTGCCTCCCGCCTACTGAGGAATAGCTTTTCTGCAGCGTGCAGGAGGCGCTGGAAGGGAGGTGAAGGAGTGGGGATGGGGTGCAGTCAGGGGAGGGGGCAGGGAAGAGGTGGAGCAGGGTTGGGGCTTTGGAGAAAGCAGTGGAGTGGGGGCTGGGCTGGGGGGTGGAGCAGGGGCGGGAAGGGGTGGGGTGGGGTGGGGGTTTGGGGCTGAGCACCCCCAGGAAAAATTGGAAGCTGGCGGCTGTGAATGCACATTCAAATCCTGCCTTTCTTAGTCTGCTTCTAATTCTGGTTCCTCACAATTTTTCCTAATGCTTCTTAATCCTGGCCTATAAAACCTATGCTGTTCCATCTCTGGGTCCCTCCTCTGTTCTGCCAAGCCACTGCAATTATAAATGGTGAACACACTACTGGAAACAAAAGGATTGCAGCAGTTCATAACTGCCTTGTAGGCAAATGATGAAGGATAAGGCATCCATCCAAACAACCACCAGTACTGTATTAGTGGCACGCCCTATACACTCAATATGCTATACTGCAGCCTAGCCATCTTGTTTATTTTGGAAGTGAAAAGCTTACGTGCTAGGAATTCAAACCATCTATTCTCCAAAAGAAGACATAATATCACTCCTACCCCTTGTGTGAATCTCAATCTGTATGAGGAAATCTTCCTATGGAGGGAGAGGTAATCTCCTGTTTGCTATCTCAACTCTGGGGTTCTTCCAACCATGCTGAATTAATTACCCCGGGCCAGATTTTCAGCTGATGTAAACTGACACCGTTCCAGTGGAGCAACACTGACTTGCACCAGCTGAGAATCAGGCTCACTGTGAGTTAAGGAAGGAAATGCAGGGGAGAAAGATCCTATCAACTACAGGTGAGTTGAGGCCACTCAAACTCATTTAATTGTGTGTCCAATATCTTAGACATGGGGAAATTCATCTCTCTACTCCTGCTGTGGTAATACATCTTCTCATGTGTATACATGCATCTCTTGTTCTGCCTTCAGTTTGAACTTCTCTGTCAATCACCACTTTGATTGGGACATTGACTGCAAACTGGTTCCACCACCTTTACACAAAAGTGATGAAAAGGAAAAAGCCAAAAAAAAAAAAAAAAAAAGGGTACAGAAACCCAGCCCAGGAGCCTATTTAGTAGGGTGAGTAAGCCTAAATTACTATTCTAGTTCACTCCTAAACCTCAGCAGTCTGTGTTTATAGTTTACCTCAGCAATGCAAATTTGGATAATAGTAATGGTTTCTAAATGATCCACTAGCTTAAGATGTGGTCAATATAACCTCACCTCCTCCTCCTGACTGAAGCACAGGGAGGACAGTACAAACTCATCTCTCATGCTTGCAGATGGGGCAGATATGGGGCTTGCTCCTTCATCCCTTTCAGATTCATAGGTGGTTCACTAATCTGTAAGGCCAAACCTAGGATCATATTCCCTATGGATATGCTGGGAGCTCTCCAAGGTCCATTTCTTACTGAAGGGTAGTTGAATGACTGGTTCAGTGGTTCTCAAACTTTTTGTATTGGTGAGACTTTTCACAGAGCAAGTCCCTGAGTGTGACCCTTATAAATTAAAAGCCACATGTTTTATATTTAACACTACTTTAAATGCTAAATTTATAACCCTGTTGTTTAAAATGAATTTACTTTTTCTCACCGCTTTTAAATTAAGACTAAAATACATTTATCAAATTATTGTTATAAGCAGAAAAGATTTCTTAAATAGTTACTGATTAATATTGGGAGAGGGTGCGAAGAAACTTTATCAATATCACTGTTCACAGCAGACTTAGCGCCCCACTGCCACCCTTACTTCCGTACTGCTGTTGGCGGCAGGTGCTGCTTTCAGAGCTGGGTGGCCAGAGAGCTGTGGCTGCTGGCTGGGTGCCCAGTTCTGAAGGCAGCGTCATCACCACCAGCAGTGCAGAACTGCAGAAGTAAGGGTGGCAATGCTAAACCATGCCACCCTTACGTCTCTGTAACGTTTGCCCTTTGTACTGGGAGGGGGGGGGCTATAGCCCCCACAAGCCTCCCCCATCGCCACCCCTGCCTGTGAGTCTGACTGTTAAATTATAAATTATGTTGTTTTTTTTGCCAATCTCAGTGTTCTGATCGATCTGCAGTTCAATGTAGTTCTTCAGCTGCTGAACAGTCAAGCCCTCTGATGTTGTCTCAGTCCCAGGAATGGCCTTAAAGAAAATGGCACCCTGGGCGAACTTCTATTTTGTCACCTTTCCTTTGGAGCCAGAGAGGTTTTACTCTGCCTTCACAGAAGATAAAACTTGGTCAAAACCTATACCTTAACCTCCCCTGGACTCCTTACAGATCATCCTGTAACATTAAGAGGACATTTTTATTCTGAAGAACATAGAAGGTGTTGCTTCATTTGGGTTGCACTGCATTTGACAGAATGGGAAGGATTAACTTTCCTCTCTCACCTTCATAGGTTGAAGCTGCATCCTGGTGATTCTTGAAGGGTCTACAACTGGCTTTGGGCGTTTTAGGGTGTCTAGAATATTCTGCCATTGAGGGGGCAAGCCAATGAATTTACCCTCCTTTGGATCGAACGAGGTGTGGACCCGATGCTGGAAGTTCTGCGGAGCAGAGATCTCAGGTCGTTTCTTCTTCTTTTTGCGAAACATGATGCCTGAATCAGAGAGATCAAATGCATTAGATCTAGTCATTTATATGGTCTTCACAGTAGTTATTGTACTGCTCCAATTAGGGTTGCTAATATTGGTTGGACATATTCCTGGAGGTTTCATCACATGATATAATCTTTAATTCCCAGAAACTCCAGGATAATCCTGGAGGGTTGGCAACCCTACCTACAGTTATAGCTGCATTCTAATTTACAATCTAACCCCTCTTTTTCCATTGCTCATACAAATTCCTTTTAGCCTGAGTTTTTCCAATCTTGGTCTTAGCCTAAATAGCTGAGCTTACACTAGGATTCATAAATCACCACTGATGTAGCTACCTTGTTGGGAGTAATGGGGGAGACTGTAGATAGCTGTTTTTATCACTTCTCATTTAAGTCTACTCAGAATAAGCTTAGATAACAGAGAGAAAGAGCCTGACCCCTATCTATAGCTGCCACCACTGCCATCACCAGAGGAGCTGCATAGGCAGATAGTTATGGGTCCTACTCTTCCTAGAGCAGAGAAGGCCAAAGAGAATTTTTTGGGAACATTTAAGCAATGTAGGTTGAGCCACATTTTTATCTGCAGCTAACTTAAAAGCTGATATAGGCCTGAACCAAAAGCTCAGTTTTATTAGTATTTTTAAAAGGGCTTTTTTGGATGTGGGAAGGTAGGGTATTAAATCCAAAGGTGGATTTGATTTTTGTGAATGGTCCCTACTTTTATAATAGGCTGAGAATAAAGCCACAAGTCCAATACTTTTGAACTTTGAGGTGTTCAAAAGCCGAATCCCAAACTTGCAGCTCATGACCACCTCAATACAAATAGCTAGCAAAGTCAAACTTGCTGAAGAGATTTTAATCAAACCTGGAAAAAATTAGTGGAAAATGGGTTCTTTGGTTTCAAAGTTATAAATGCTTAAAGTCAGCAATGTCATGTATCTGACCTAGAATGTTTTCTATTTGTGGTTTTAAGGGCATGTTTAGCAGGGACACCTTACTGTCCGCCTAAAGCTGCTTGAGTCTGTAAATTCCATAAATCAAATATCTCCAGTTCAAGAAAATTGCAAACTGTCAAGAATGCCACTGTTAGAATGATACTATTAGAAATGGCAGCTTGTGAAAGGTCATGATGAGAGAAACGGCCGGGAAGCCTCCAGCAGGGGCCTAGCATTTTAGATAGCTCAGTCTAGGTAAAATGCTTCAGCACAGGTTCAGTGCTAAAGCTCTGTAGCATAAGCAGCCCTAGTTTAAGCAATTTATAATCTCCACTCTAGAAAATCCCTGTTTTTTGTCCCCCTTCCTGTAACCTCTGTCTACTTGGCTACCTGTCCTTAAATTGTGAGTTCTTTGGGGGCAGGGACATCACTTTCTAAATGTCTAGAAAACGCCTAGTACACAGTAGACTCTGTCATGAACAAATAATAAATGGGTGAAGTTCCTGCCAGGTTCCTCAACAAAGTTCCTGAGGGTTACTCACCAAAACACAAACTTGAGCTTAAACTTTCTCCCCAAACTTCACTGTCCCTAGGGTTTCCTTGCAGGACTTCCTCTGTCCTGGTCCTCTGCCTTTTTCCCTCAGAAAGATACTCCAATCACTCTTGTATCCCATTTAGAGCTAACAAGCATGAATCAGAAGTAATTACTCTGTTCCTTTACTCAAGGTATTAACACCTGAGGTTAGGGTGACTCAGCAAAGGAACACTGCATTCTTATGCAGGGTTCTAGAAACTGACACACATTTACAGTTTCCTAAGTCAAAGAACTCCAGATCTAGTTATTTTATTTTTCTTCATTTTTCTAAATTAAAAGGAAAAAATAGTGCTAACACTATGTTAAGATGGAAAAATCAAGCTCTCAAAAGGACGGCAGTCCTACTAATTAAAGTTATTCCCAGAAGTTGATTATGTTGCATACGTAGAATTTTCTTTATCGCTTTCTCCTGTTCAATTTAAACCTTAATATATTACTGTTTGTTGATAATACTTATAGGAAATACATAGGATGGGGCAGTTACCATCTTTTACTTATGTGTTTGTATTGTGCCTAGCACATGACTCGGGCACCTAGATGCTACTGAATTACAATAAATAAATAATAATATTATTAACATTGTGGGAGAAAGTTGAGATTCTGGATTTTCCTAAATTTGCGGTTCAATTTCCCAACCTTAATATTACATTAATGCTGGATGCACTAGTATATTATCTGTACAGAACCACTGGTGTACATAGATACTTCCTGATCTTTTCCTCTATCCAACAGCAGATTTTGGACCCTCACCAAGCTCTTATACTTCAGAAAAATCATTCTCCCTTCCCAGTACCTCAGCTTTAGGTTATTTTGCTGGATAAATATTTCATGGGCCAAAGACAACAGTGAATATAGTGAAAATAATTTGTTTCACAGTAGAGAGCAGACATTTCTGGTGATATTTTCCTTACATGCTATACACTTCAATATCATGCTCTCTTAATGATACAATGCTATACATAATTCGCATTGTTACAATTAGAACTACAGTTTAAAGCAGTGTACAGTGGTTAAAAAGTGATTATTTAACATACTGCTGTATTTCCTATCCTTAGGGCCTGGATCCTGCAAACACGTATGCACATGCTTAACTTTACTACCATGCAAAGTTCCCTTGAAACAGTAGGGAGGGGATGGAATCAATCAACTTACGGTAGTAAAGTTAATCATGTGCATTAAGCATTTGCAGGATCGGGGCCTTACATTGTATATCACAGCAGGGCATTTATACGGACTTTTCAAGTACAAACACAGCATTACTGTGCTGCATCAAAATGCTCACAAGAGACCCCAGACTTATTATTCCATCTGAAAACCAGAGAAACAATGTAGAGAAAGGCATAAAAGCCCATTTAGAGAAGCACTATGAGGCCTCACTTCTGCACCTGAGGCTAGGTCTACATTGGGGGCGCGGGGGGATCGATTTAAGATACGCAAATTCAGCTACACGAATAGCGTAGCTGAATTTGACGTATCCGAGCCGACTTACCCCGCTGTGAGGACGACAGCAAATCGACCGCCACGGCTCCCCCGTCGACGGCGCTTACTCCTACCTGCGCTAGTGGAGTATGTGCGTCGATTCAGGGATCAATTGTCGCGTCCCGACGAGACGCGATAATTCGATCCCCGAGAGATCGATTTCTACCCGCCGATCCAGGCGGGAAGTGAAGACAAGCCCTGAGAGGGTGCACTGCCAGAACGGTCTTTGCTTTGGAGGTGGTTCCAATGGCACCCAGGGCACATATGCTCTAATGGTGGGCTCACTGGGGCAGTGCTCGTCTTTGTTCTGTATCTGTATAGAGCCCAGAACAGTGGGGTCCTGGTCCATGACTGGGGCGCCTAAATACTACTGCAATTCAGATAATAAATAATGAGAAATAATCGTGGAGACAATTGTTGGAGGAGAAGAACTGCAGAAGATTTCCTTGGAAAGGGAAGTAACCTGCTAGCTACTCCTTTTGGCACTGTTCAAAGGACAGGTGGGGCTACTAGAGAGGCTCCACAGCATCTGACATAGATCAGGAAGTGGGAAGCACTGGATAAAATGCTGTAAATCTCAACTCTCTGCCAGGACAAGAAGTGTGTCAATAATTATTAATTAAAACCTCTTCACTGAGCCATGAGGATGGAAACATTCCTAAACTGAGTAGCCAAGTGATCTTATTGTTTTAACCCTTGTTCTTCCTCATCCACCCCCTCCCTACTCTTTGTAACCTCCTTCATTGCATCCCATCCATAATTATACTTAGGGGCCTACTAAATTCACAGCCATGAAAAGCGTGTCACGGACCGTGAAATCTGGCCTGTTGTGTGCTTTTACCCTATACTATACAGATTTCACAGGGGGGACCAGCGTTTCTCAAATTGGGAGTCCTGATCCAAAAGGGAATTGCAGGGGGGTCACAAGGTTATTTTAGGGGGGTTTCAATATTGCCACCCTTACTTTTACACTGCCTTCAGAGCTGCACAGCCGGACAGTGGCAGCTGTTCACCAGGCACTCAGCTCTGAAGGCAGCACCCTGCCAGCAGCAGCACAGAAGTAAGGGTGGCAATACCATACCATGTCATCCTTACTTCTGTGCTGCTGCTGGCAGTGGCTCTGCCTTCAGAGCCGGGCTTCCGGCCAGCAGCCGCCGCCACTCTCCAGCAGCCTGCACTGCTCTGAAGGCAGCGCTGCTGCCAGCAGCAGTGCAGAAGTAAGGGTAGCAGTACTGCAACCCCTTTTCCTCCTACAATAACCTTGCAATGCCCCCACAACTCCTTTTTGGGTCAGGACCCCTACAATTACAACACTGTGAAATTTCAGATTTAAATAGCTGAAATCATGAATTTTATGATTTTTAAAATCCTATGACGGTGAAATTGACCAAAATGGGCCATGAATTTGGTAGGGCCCTAATTATACTGTAAGATCTATAGGGCAGGGACGATGACTTTCTATTTGTTTTGTAAAGCCCCTAACACACTTTGGGGTGCTGTAAAAATAAATCCATAAATAATAACTAGTAGTATCCCTTTATGATTCAGTATGATTGGATTTATATGCAAATTACTGAATTAAAATGTTCAATTTTCCATTCGGGGCCAAATTTTCAACCAGGCTTCAAAAGTAGATCTACCCCAGCATATAACTTTGCATGCACATATACAAAACATAGGTGCATTCACATTAGATAATTGTGCCTTCAAATCACCATTTAGAAAGCACTTACCCCATCCGTATACACAAAAGTATGGTTCACATATGCAGAAACATGTATCCATTAAGTTCATGGTCACATTTACAGCAGCTGGCTGAAAATTTGGCCTTTGTGTCTTTTTGGCTAGTAGTATGAGTATTATAATGATAAAATGCATCCAACCCTGTACACCTACATGTACCTCGGGGTTTCCAATGACATTTGCTTTACATTAATTGCTTTGATTATAAATACAGTCTGATATTGGACAGGTGGTTGTAGTTTAAAGGACAC